TCTTCGAGTCCCTTGTTACAAATGACACTGAAACACATTTCCTTCTTTTTTCCCGTCTTCATTAGCCCAGTTCGGAGCAGAACAAAAGGACGGTAAAATCCATTTCATTTCATTTTTTTAAACCAATATTTTATTCGAAATTGGAAGGGATTACGAAACAGGCATGGCCAAATTGACCTCTCCTCTGAAATTTCCTTGAATCTAATAGGTTGAAAATTGTGGTTGAAAGAGAATTAAGTATCGGTAAGATAAGTCTACCAGAGAGGGCCTCCTACAAACCCTTGTGGGTTTCCTCCAGATGTACTGTAAATCATAAGGCCTGTTATCTATGCAAGTGATGGGTTCAATCCCAGCTTCATACGTGAAAAAGAGTAGGGCTGGCTATCTAACCATTTTGGATTTCCATTGTTCTCTGATTTCCTCTCTCTCTTTTATAGACCCTTCTGCATCCCATGTTACCAATAGCAAATTTCGCTCATGCCTTTCAACTTTCAACCTCACACCAGCTAACATGATTCAAGTGAAAATGTATGATTTATTGAAACCAATGGCTTAAACAAAAAATGTTGTATTAATGTAAAACTATAATAGTAACTAAAACATATATACCAAGTAGGCTATAATAAAATCTGTAAAATAATAAAAATATGGATCGAATGAACTCAAACTTTTATTTTGAATACAGGAAATGAAAATAATGGACACAGATAGAATCACTGTACACACAGATACTGATCATTCATCTGACCAGACATACATGTTTAGTCACTCTCACACTCTTCGCTCTGGTCTGGTGAACATCTGGGTATAGACCATGGTTAGTTCAAACCAAAATCAATTGTGCGATGATAAACTATCAACTGGGCAACTGATAATAATATTTTGATAAGCTTATCACTGTCAGTCTGTTAAATCTCTAACTCAATATCTTCCATAATATTCAGAATCAAAAACACGAATTAGAATTCAATATTGGTCAATTTCAATCAATATTGATTTTATATTCAGTACACAAGTTGTGTATTCTATGGTTTCAAGTGCCAAATTAACAAATAAAAACATATCCTACAAGAAAATGTGGAAGTAATGAGTAAAGGCTGATTCACAAACGACAAAATAATAATTAAAAAAAACCGTGTAGAATGGGCTAAGCATGCGTAATCCTCTGCTGTTCAATTTGAACTGTTCGGTACTTCACCGAACATAATTGATCAGAAATTACAATATATTTTCAAAAATTAAATATAAATCACTTCACATACATTCATATTACATTAATATGTGCTTTTAGAATCATTTTCTCCTATTTCGAGGTTCCATATATTATACTCACACTACTGTCTATATTATAATTATAGGGATACTATAGGCTGTTTCTGGTTGGGGGAAGTTTAAACAATCATTTTTGTTTCCTCGTTTTTCGACAATCACCCCACCCTACACTATGCAAATAGAAATTCTGCATTATTTTGTAAATACCTCAGAAGTTTTAATGACACACTGTGACTGTCACCAAAAAGCCACTGACAGTGACAGCTCACTGAAGTTTTCTTCAGTGGTTTTCAATACTCATTCTATATGAGTGTCAACAGTAATATATGACTGTCAACAGTAATATAATAATAATAATTCAGCAAGTTTAACCCCATATGCACCAACAATTTGAATACTTACTAAGACAATGAAACCACCCAAAATTACAGCTACATCATTTGACTCTGGCTTCTTGTCATTTTAAGTCAATTTATTATTTTTTCCCCCATGTTCTTAAGCTACCCAAGGGAAACAACTCTAACGTAACAGATGCTGGATAGCTTTGAATATCCATAACTATATTGAGATCCACTGATCATTATTCTGGATAACCTGGCACAAACTAAAGTTAAGAATTTACTCAAAATTGTTTGCCTTATTTTAAATAAAATATAGCCCATTATAAAACTTTTGTCGTTTTAATATATCAAATTAATGCAGCATAAGAAACTATCTGCAAAGTTTTGTGTGTCTGGATCAATTCAATAATATTTCTCAAAACAGTGATTGAAAGTTGAGTAAATTCTTAATAAGTGCCGTATATGAGAATGCTTTGTGAACTTGGGGCCTGTTCTGGGTTATAAACATACATTTCAAGATTAATCAAAATCGGATAAAAATTGTAATCTCTAACGTATCCACAAGCTAAAAACGTGATTTTTCGTACAATCAGGGTTCATATCCATGAAGTTATAATACGGTCCAATACATGCCAATTTCGAAAGGAACCCAGATCTTTGGGAGATACACCCATATTTCAAGTTTCGTTAAAATCAGATAGAAATTGTGATCTGTGGAGTGTCCACAAACAAAATGTGAACGGACGGACGGACGGGCACTGCACAGACGGACGGACAGTAGCGACGACAATATACGTCCACATGAAAATGTAGGTGTATATATAAAAAAAAACCACGACAAAGTGCAATTTGTTACATTTAAACAGTTTGTGACATTCTTGTTTTCGTTTCAGTTGTTTGCGCAATGCTGATCGTAGCGTAGTTTTTATTTCTTACCGATAAGATAAGATTTTTATGGTATCGAAACATCCATTGAGGACGGGGGTCACGGTGGCTAAGTGGGTAAGACGCTGGCTCGCTAGCCTGGATCCCTGCATTGACCGAGAAAGTTCATCCAGATTTTCCAGCATGGTTCCCCGCTTGTCAGTTGATGCAGGACGGAGGGTCTGACAAGGACAGCTGTCTATTTGTTCGGATGGTACGAAAAACCGAGGTCCCGTGTACACATTGGCGTGCACGTAAAAGATCTCTTGACCGTTGGAATTCGATATAAGAGTAGGCTGCAGTGCCGCTGTCCGGGCAAAATTTCCCTCATAGCACACTGTATAATGGCATGTGCCCGTCTTCATAAGCCCAGTTCGGAGCAGAACAGTAGGACGTTAAACCCCGTTTCATTTCCATTGAGGACATGTACATAAATTTATAACAATATGACAAATAATATATATTTTATTTGAAATGAAATGAAATGGGGTTTAACGTCCTACTGTTTTGCTCCGAACTGGGCTAGCACAAATAAGACAAATGGTAATTTTAATCTAGCTTACATATACATTTACTAACAGGACAAACAATATGTACATCATTTACCTCGATATGTTGAAAAATGGGGGTTGGATGGCCGAATGGTTAGCACGTGCTCGCTGTATCATAAGGTCTGTCATTGAGTCAACTGGCGGGGTTTCGATTCCCCGGTTGTACGTGACAAGGAGTAGGGTCGCCTGTCCAACTTTGTGGGTTTTCTCCGGGTCCTCCGTTTTCCTCCCACTGCTAAAGACCCTTAAGCGCAAGCGAATTATTGACATAAAATTGAACCATTAGTCCCCTATGTTGATACACCTATCATTCCAGGCAAAGAGATATAAGAAAGGAACCCAGAACGGAGCCATTCGTCATTAGTAGTAAATTTTAATTAAAATTGCATAGGTGGTGGAAAGGTAAGATATAAAAGCACAATTATATTATACATCTTTGAAGGTCGTCATGTGCATTTTATGTTTAAATTTATGAACGGCCAGCCAAGCGGAGCGATGAAAACAATGTTATTAAAATAATAGTTACTTAAAATGACCCAAACCCCAAACAACACTGTATTAGAGTATTATTTCGAAAACCCTAATACTCGATGGTTAAATAAATGAAGAATAGGGATATTGCAAGTTTACAGAGAATTGACAAATAAATTGTTGAGGACAATATTGTAAACAGCGTTAAATCCCAAAGCAATTGCCAATAGAAAGAGTGTAGGGGGAGGGGGTCACTTAGCTCCGTAAATGAAATGAAAATGAAATGAAATGGAGTTTAACGTCCTACTTTTCTGCTCCTAACCTGGGCTAATGAAGACGGGCATACGCCATACAGTGTGCTATGAGGGAAATTTTGCCCGGACAGCGGCACTACGGCCTACTCTTATATCGAATTCCAACTGCCAAGGGATCTTTTACGTGCACGCCAATGTGTACACGGGACCTCGGTTTTTCGTCCCATCCGAACGACTAGACAGCTTTCCTTGTCAGCCCCTCCGTCCTGCATCACTGACAAGGGAGAACCACGCCGGAAACTTAGCTCCGTATCCGTGCATGTAATGCCAATAGTTACATTGCAATAGATACTGAACTTTGATTCACACCAAATTTAAAAACAATCTGCTAATAGCTGTAAAACGTTTTCGGCACAGATGGGGTAACTCCGGAAAGGAACGGATTGTCGCAGAGCGACTCTGAGCGTTGAATATCTCATGACCCAAATGATTCACACGATATTAGAAAAAAACATATAGGCTAATATACAGGGGTTCCGGAAATCGTTACAAAATGTAGCATCTATCGAGTATACATGCCAGTTATTGACGGACGGACGATGGGTGGACAGTGTGGCGACATAACACGCACATGATGTTCAGGCTCTATTTATTATCGAAATTGCTTCTGTGCCAGCGACCATTTCTGCTAAATAAACGTTCAATGAAAACCGAATTCCTGGTCCAGATGACAATCATTCTGATCAAGTATAAATTCATCATGAACAAGGACCAAAGTGTCCGAACCTTCCATAAAACAAGTGACGTTTCGATAAGAAAATCTTTCATTTATCTAAATTAAAACCATAAAATATTTACCGGACAGACGTTAAAGTTTACTCCAAATACGCGCCAAAGATAAAGTTCAGAAAAAAATTGAAATAATGTTTTGCATAAAAATAAACACAATTTTTTAAATATTGTGTAACAAATGTCCTTTGATGTGCACAATTTTCGCAGAAATTATTAATTTCTAAAAGAATGACCTTTTTCATACGAACCAGTGTGTTAGCCCCGATGAAGATTTTCGGTATATAAAATAAGTACAAAAAGTAATGTATACAATATCATATACGGGAAAAAGCCATGCGCTATAAAAGTTACTACTGCTGTGTAAATGAACCAAAATATTGTCATTGCAACTCTACCGGGTGACCACATTATTTGGAACCCATCATCACCCTCTCCAGGCTGAACCTGATTAGCTTGATCATGGTTAACGTCTTCGTGGTCGAGATCATCAAAATTTTCCCAGTCCGAATCAATTTCATTTTCTGTACTATCTTGTTGAGTTTCTGAACAGGTGCTGTAGGTTTTAATATTTAGGCCTTCTTCGATGGATTCTTCAGATTCGGTAACCCGTAGAGCCTTGGATATATATTCGTCGTCAGGAATCAGTCGTTCATGCATTTCATCTCTGCTCACCAAGCTTTTTATTTTATAGCTTGGCCATTTTGTATCGTTGGTTGGTGTTTGGGACGAAACTGATCTTAAAGACACACATCCATTTGTAGAAAACTGTAAAGATAAGTAAGCATAATTTTTCAATGTATATCCAAGAAACTGCAATGTGTGCTCGATGTCGGTCTCATTCTTGCTTCCTACTCCGCCTAATTAATCTCACAATATTCCACTGGAAAGCATCTCAAAAATAAACTCATTCCGACAGGATAGGGTTATCTGTGATACCAGTAGTAGGCAGTACCGTGGAAACAGACATTAAACATCAAATATAAGAAGGCGAAACGGGTAAGACACTGCGTTTCCAGCTGGAATAGGCCTATAAAATCTTTTCAATTCTGCCCATAAAACATTTCTCGGTTACCAAAATCACTAAGTTGTCATCTTACCCGTTCTTTCTCTTTTTTCCAACCATCGACAATATCTCTTAATGCAAATGATACTGAAATATCCTCTTTTATGATGGGTTTTGCCAGAGAATCCTGTCGACACGTAGGACAGTGCAGCTTCACTTTGTGTAATGACATGGTTTGGTTATGGTTTCGAGCAGACTGAGCCAGTCTTTTCAGACAACTGAAACAATGAAACGATTAAAATATGATAATAAAATAAACCCAATTTAAAACTGATTAACAATAATATCCCCCCCCCCCCCCAAAAAAAAAAAAAGATTCAGATTTCCTGTATGCAAAGAATAGATAAAAAAGATGGAGATTAATCCCTCTCTTCGTTCCATTAAGAGCTAAAATAGTTTTGTTAAGTTGGGGTAAGAGAACAATATTCAGCACCGAACACGACCATGCTCATCCCATCCTGAACATCAGGTTCTGGAACAGAGCATTCATTCAACAAAAATCTCTGCCAGGTCGCGTTATCTTGGCCTTCATGTCCTTCAACTGTACTGGATAGTTTAATATTTAAAACGCGCCCTCTTAAATCTTAATAAAGGGGGAACACGACAGAAGGCCGAAGAGTGTTATTTTAGATAGGCCTACACTTACAGTCACTTTAATGTAAAAAAAGAGAGCAAATTTACCATGTACAAAATGAATGTCCACACGGAAGAGTGTGCGGTTCCTTGAACAAATCGAAACAAACATCACACTTCAGTGAAGTACTCCAGTGACAGGAATCAACAAAAGATGTTTTCGTCTCTTCCATACTTTTCACGATGACGTCAACTCCAAATTTACGTCATTATAGAAATAAATGATATGAACTAAAACCTATAGCAACCAAAGGAGTAAATGAGACTCTTGGGAGTTTCTTTTGAGCTGCAGAATTTATTAAATCGCCTTTACACACTTTATTCTTCGTCCAAATCTAAATCATCTTGAGCACCCCCACCCGTCACCATTCCTCTATAATTATTTTCTAGTTTTAGCGGACGGAGGGCAAAGCTGATATCTGATTGATCATAATTATGTTTTGGATTGGTGTAAAAATCATGTAATGCACCTATTATTTTATTACAATAATATACAGTAAAGGTCTGATTCTTTCAGTGGCATATAAAATATTCTTTATAAAATGTATTTCATATTTGATTTTCTCTCTCTCTCTCTCTATATATATATATACAACAATATATAAACTGATATCAAAAATAAACATGATATAAGTGTACAAAATGATTTAAAAGTTGGAAAATGTAAAGATATGCATTCCTAAAAAGTTAATAAAAAATACTCATGTACTCTATTATAGACAACTGCTGTAATATTCAATTTCAGTTAGATTTTTATAAGATTTTGTTTAAAATTTGTGCAAAAGTTCTTCAATCAATGGACATATTCCTTAATCCAAATCCAAATCTAGCCATAAAACCCGCGTAAACTGTGTCAGTGTTAAGCGTGCTTTTTAATAAATTGAAGGATTTTCTGGTTGGGATACATTAAAACCAGACCCACCCATGGAGTATGATACGATAGCAGGGTCAAATCCAACGTCAGCTTGGGGCAATTTGGACTGAAAATTCGACATAAAAAACAAATTGTCCTTGTTCTCGCGCTTCCCGGTTGCGCATGAAATATTGGCGACATATTGAGATAATTTGTTCTTGGCATCAGGATTAGTTTTTACGTTGTTCTTCCCGATTTTATCCGATTCTAAGTAATCATTGCGGATTTTTTCAATGCTGAAAAACGCATCACTGATAATAGAGCTGCCATGTAGAGCAACTGCGAATCTATCGATTTCCTTTGTGATCTTCTCAAATTCCAGATTTGAAATCGGTGGTATTGGTGGATTTCGCTCTTTTTTATTAACCTGATGAACAGGTTCTGGTTCAGGATCCGTATTTGTAGACGCATCAAACTGGAATTCAAATACAGTAAACTGTTATTAATAATACAAGAGAATAATATATCATCTATACAAATCACTAATTCTTTATGCCGTATTTTCCACCAATTTCAGGGAGATCTACGTTTTGTGTCATTTTCATAAACATTAGAGCGGGAGAGTACCAGTTGGATCTGTCACAGAATGCACACTCTATGATCGCTGTGTCCAACCGGCGGGCACAGATTTCCTTGTATGATGAGGAGTTCCATATAACTGCCGTGGAAGAATTTATAAGGCCACTTGTGTGCTGACAATAGATGTGCACTAGTATTGCCAGAATATATAGAATTGGTGATGTATACCTATGCTATTTGATTATTGCGGATGGTTTACGCAAACGAGTTCATATTCTGAATGTTCGCACCTCTCCAGACCAAAGCCGTAAGGGCTTTGCTCCAGACCAGACCACGCCCCTGCAATGCATCTATCTAAGACTTATAAATCTGCCTATTGCTGGTATTTCTTTGGGCCTGAAATGTTATGTTAACTATTAATTAGACATTTATTAACATGAATCCGATTTGCTGCTCAACGCTCATTGATGATTTAATCCAAAACTGGATAATCGAGACTATGTTTTTTTTTAACGTACTGACTTTTGTATTATAGTAATGATGATCGAGGCTAGGCCTAAAATTCAAACGCTATCTCGGTTCAGAGTGCTGCAATTTGACTGAAATTTTCAGCATATTCCCTTTACATTATCTAGTTTTTACATATTATAGTGAAAACTGCCAGCTTTTTATCTAATCTTCAAAAATGCCACATAAGCTATATTTTCTTACCTTTTTAGGTTTAACATCGGGTCGAGCCTTCAAGCCATCGATTAAAGATTGGATAGGGTAGTTGAGCGTAACGTCACGTTTTAATAGAGCGATGACAAAAATAGGACATCTACAGTTTGGACAGCCAATTGTTAGATCATGTACTGGTACGAAGTTCTTATTCCGATTGGCATGTTTTCCCATTTGTAATAAGCAACTGTTAAGTAAAGAAAAATATTAATCGTTTAAAATCATTTTTCGAAACACTTTAGCCTATAGTTGTTGGTTTGCTTCAATATTAAAATACAGGCCTATAATACCAATAAAGGAAAAACACAACTTCCAGGTCCGAATTAACTTTTGTTTGTTTGTGTGAGAGTGGGTGGGTGTGGGAGCGGGCGTGGTAAGTCATTATATCATCTGAGTATGGGGGGGCTGAATTAAGAAGAAAAGCGGGGGTTCCAGCGACCCCCCCCCCCCCCCGCCCCCCGAAAATTATCCTTGGCGAATAAAAGGAATATTGTAAAAAAAAAAAAAAGTTTTAGGCTACAACATAAGCTTCAAACTTCAATCAAGTTACGAATACAGCCAGTACTTTGTAAGGACAGTCACTGACTAATGTGTGAGAGTGGTCTTACATTTAATGACGAAATGACGGCACAATAAATAAATAAACATATTGATCACTAGATATGTTTACCAGCAGAGTCGGGCCAAAGTCAGAATTACCCGCGGAGCCCTTTTTGGTGTAAAAGTAGTTCCTTTAGGAACTGTCTTTGATCGGGTCAGATATTTTGAATTCACTACTGGTATAATGTACTTACTTGTAACAAAATGTATGACCGCATGGTAAAACAACCGGGTTTTCATAAAATTCGAGACAAATTCCACACTTTAAAACCTGTAACACATCTTCACCGAGTACTTCATGAAATGCATTGGAATATAATACACTGTCCGCACTATTTTCACTCATTATAATTGAAAAAATCGCTGTAACGATATAGACGTCGTAACGCGCGGGGGTGTCAAATAAAATTAATGTTCAAATGATTTTACAGTTGCTACACGACTCTGTATGTTGACGTCACAAACTCAACGCGTCACCTCCAAATCAATGTCTGGCAAGAGCGAATTAAGAATAATATTATCATTATGAGAGAGAGAGAGAGAGAAATGGGGTTTAACGTCCATTCGACACAAACTAGGTCATTTCGAGACTAACATATGGTTCAATTTTATTTCCATAATTCGCTTGCACGTAGGGGTCTTTCAGTGGGAGGAAACCGGAGGACCCGGAGGAAACCCAGGAGGTTGGACAGGCGACCCTACTCCTTGTCACGTACAACCGGGGATTCGAAACCACGCCAGTTGACTCAATGACAGACTTAATGATACAGCGCGCACGTGCTAACCACTAAGCCATCCAACCCCCCATTATCATATGAGTTCGGGGTGTGTGTGTGTGTGCGTGCTATATATTTTGGCTCAATAGGGGTAGGAGTGGGAAGGAGTGGGTAGGGGTGGGGGGCAAATCTAGACCGAAATCCACAATCTCACCATGCAATGAATGTCAATAAAATACTGGCTATAACACTGATAGTTGTTCGCCGATCGTTATTTCGCCAGAAAGCAGTAACGTTTTATTCTAGTTGACATAAAGTTCGTGTTATATTATGATTGTTATTGATTTTGTTATTAAATTTTTGTGAACCCTAGGGACGGTGGCTATAACAATGAGCAACCTGGAGGGGGTCTCCCCCTGAGAGAATTTTGAAAAATTGAGTCATTATCCTGGCATTTGAGGTCATTGCTGGCAGCAAATTCTTGCGAACGATAGGACCAGAAATGGGAGTCAATGGAACAGAATCTCGAGATCAGCTTGTCAATTCCGCCTGTTTTGAAAGAGTTGTCAGAACATTTTAAATGTTTTATTTATTACCTTGAAGAAGAAAAGGGTACCTCTTCGAAACGTTGGTGTAACAATATCTGACGATGAAAACAGTGTTAGTGTCTCTTTTATTTATCAACTTTAATAGTATAAGATTACAGAGGAGTGCAACAATGATGGAATCGAGCGCCGTATAGGCGCGAAAAAAAAAATCAGATGGCAACGTATAACTGAGCTTATAATTGTTTGAGACTAGGCCTGAAACTTTTAATCTATGTCATGGGAAATGGGAGCAAATTCTCGTGAACGAGAGGATAATAAGAAATGGGACAGAACCTTGAGGCCTCTGTCAATTCCGCACGATTTGAGAGTGTTGACATAACTTTTGTACAGTCTGTCGCCCCACGATTAACTCACTCACCATAGGGTCTATATACTGTAGAGGTTACCTAAGTTCTGTAAGAGATGCCCTGGTTAATGTATTGCAGCCGTTATAGACCAAGAGCCAGTGACGAAAAAACTGCCTCATAAGTAATAGAAGGTTTGACTATATCAATTGGCAGCTATTGATAGGGCAAATTCAAAACACCCAATCTTACGAGGTTTCAGTGGGGCATTT